ATTTATTTATTTTCTGGTACCGCATCAGGCCTTCACACACACCATCCAGCGCTGTACACACACACACACACACGGAGCTCCCAAAACTCTGCTCTGCATTCTGCACTCTCCTAGTGCTGCACTTTCAATCCAGAGCCGTAAGCAGCCTCTTGCTGCGCCTCACACACACAGGCTGAACTCAGCTTACACACACAGTGAAGCTTGTCTACAGCTGTGCCTTTTTCCTCTTGATTCTGCAGCCTTCACTTCCCAAATCTTTCTCCAGTTACCTCTACTGTTAACATCTACCCCTTTTTTCTTCATCGCCTCTTCCGCTGACTTTCTCAATAAAACCTTATTTCTCGTGGCTTCAACTGGGCTGCTTGTCATATTTAAACATTGCTCATTTTATGCAAAAACAGCCAAAAGCACGCAGAAATAGCCAAAAGCACTGCTCTCTTCACACAGAAGCAGTCAAAACATTTATCATCTTATGCAAAAACAGTTACCTCAGAACATTTTTCTCATCTCATGCAAAAGGTCCTTGACCTTAAAAATCCAGGGAGCTCTCTTTTAGCCTCCCCTTCCCTTAACACAAAAAACCAGGTCCTTGACCTTAAAATCCAGGGAGCTCTCTTTTAGCCTCCCCTTCCCTTAACACAAAAAAACCAGGTCCTTGACCTGTGGACTTTTAGGGTTCCCACACCTATGGATCCAGCCAAGCTTTATATAACCATGTTATATATTCTATCCGCTCGTCAGCAAATAGTGTGGTCAGCCACGACCTGGAAATGGAACTTTAGGGCTACTCTATTAGCCCTGGGTCACCATCCCTTCATCTGTACTATTTCCTTTTCTCATTTACTCATTAAACCATTAGAAAAAATCCTCATTTCATTTCACCACTAAACCATTACAAAAAAATCTCTTATTCTCCTGCACTTGTCTCCACTTTCTTCTCCAACTATTATTTTAGGACCTCAGCTACTATGATTCTGGACACAAAGGCTTTGGATAAATCCAATGAGCAGATTTTAGATAATAGGCTCTGCTCACCTTGTTTTCCACCGCGGTGTTCTGTGCCAAGATCGTTCGCTGGGTCAGTGGGTCGAATCGTTCTCCAAAAACTCCTTTTTCTTCAAAAAGAAAAAATCCTGTTCGTGACGCCAAATTTGTTGGTCTTTCTTCCGTTAGACCAAGCACGGGTACGGAGTAGATGGAGTTAAACACCTTTAAAGTTGTCAGAACGAGGAGACAAATGATCAGAAGTCCATTCACTGTTTCGCCGCTCATGAGGGGGAGAGTCTCTGCAGCAAGTCCCGCGACCTGCTCTTGCCAGATGCTTCGGACAGACTCTCGCCGTTCTGCTGAAAACGGCTGATTTTTATTGAAGATTACAGGAATGTTACATACGTAGTTTGCCATACACACACGTAATTCTGCCATCTGCACCTGCAGACGCACGTCAGCTAATAGCCTTGTTAATGAAAGACCAATTCATCCCAAGGACATGCAACCTTGAGATGATCAGGACACATCCTGCAACATCCTTTGCTAACAAAGACAGTTGTTCTTGTATTGAGGAACTGAAGGAAGGAACACTTTCACTCCCTTATGCAGCTGTTCAGCTTGAGCAGAAAAGGCACAGAGAGGTCTTTGATATTATAACAAGATTCCATGAAAAGGCATATAATAATGTATTTATGATAATATATAAGGGGCAAAAGTGAGAGATACATATTTAATCATATAAAAGAGCTTATAATAATATATGAAAGAGCTTATATGAGAGATATATATTTTCAAGGGCAATATTTTAATTTCTAGCCCTTCACAAATTGATGATCTAGTTCATAATGTTACTTCTTCTTTGTGTGTGGCATTAGATGATGTTGCCCCTTTGAAAAATAAAGTAATTAAGCACAGGAAGTTGGCTCCCTGGTTTAATTCTGATCTATGTACTTTAAAGGGACTTTACGGAGTTTTGAATTTTTATGCTCGCGATTGCCCCCTCAGGCCAAAAACGTAACGGCAGCTTCAATAGTAGGCTTGTGCACGAGGCGTGCATGCTGTACGTGCACACTCCTTAATGAAAATAACAGCTGAGACAGTCCAGTGTGAGTGTGTGTGTGTGTGTGTGTGTGTGTGTGTGTGTGTGTGTGTGTGTGTGTGTGTGTGTGTGTGTGTGTGTGTGGCCCGGAGGACAGAGGACAGGAGAACGGGCAGCTAATTAATTAAATAATTTGGTTCTGTACCGTTCTCTTCAGCACAGCCGACAAAGGTTTAAGATGGGTCAGTCCGTCAGCTTCACAGAGCTTCCCTTCCCTTGCTTGAAAAATTGTTTCACAATGAAAGTTGAACCCACATCTTTTTTATCTGTGAATTCAAAGCCGTTTGGCGAGTCTCAAATAAAAATTTGGGCATCTTACTGTAAAAAAAAAAAAACATTAATGTAAAAAATAAACACTAAATAAATTATGTTCACATCCAGAATAAAACCTGGGCCTTCTGCACAAGAGTCCGACATCTTACTAGGTGAGCTAAAGCACCAGTTATGTATTTTGTATCTGTAACTTTTATACCGTTGATGACAGCTGAAACAACGTTTAAAGAACGGTTCGGAGCAAAAATGGCTATTTTGTTGCTAATTTGCAGGAAATATCTAGAAGAAAGTAGCTAAGGGTCCTCAGAAATGTAGTTAGGTTCATCACTAGGCGTTAGGAACAGTGACAAAGTCGCTGAGTTGGCATTACCTCGCTCTCTGCTGCTAAAGCTACTGATAGCAAATGCTACGGGCTATGCCTGAGCGTGAACGCGCATGAAGCAGCCTGCTCGACCCGAGCAGCTCTCTTTTTCTGTGATTTTACAGAAAAACAGGCAATCACAGTAAAAATGCCAGGGCTCATTCTACAGGACCAGGGCATTGCAGGAGAATGTATGAAGAAGAAATTTATTATTTCTATACATGTTTTGGCTGTCAAACTGCCATAATGTCCCTTTAAAACAAAACTCTAGGAAATTAGAGAGAACATGGCACTTTACACACCGGGAGGAGTCCTACTTATCTAATTGTCTACTTGTCTAAGCTTCGACAAGCTAGAACAAAATATTTATCATCGCTAATTGAGGAGAATAAGAATATTCCTAATTTATTCTCAGTACAGTAGCCAAACTTACACAGAATCATAGCTCTGATCCATATATTCCCTTAGCCCTCAGCAGCAAGCGAGTAAAATGTGATTTCTTCTTCCTCAGTAAGTGAGACAGCATCAGAGGTAACTGTAGAACCTCATCTGTGTAAGAACCGTTTTGATCCAGTTGAACTTTCAGAGTTATCAAAAATATTAGCTTCATCTAAACCTTCAACTTGTATTTGACCCAATCCCAACCAAATTATTTAAAGATGCATTTCCTTTGGTCACTGCCTCCCTGGGACGTAATTTTGGGGGGGGGGGGCGGGTGGGACATGTCCCCCCCACTTTTTCAAAAGGCAGTTTTGGTCCCCTGCACTTTTTTTCCGTCCAAAAACAATATTACGCTCCATTAAATGGATTTGGTTGAGCACTAGGACCGAAACGGAAACCGGTTTACTATTAGACCCGCCCAAAAGCTAATCTATTGGCTCTGTTGATACTTGCTAACGTATTATTGGCTGTTGCTGCTGTCACTCAAGTTGTAAACAGTCAGAACGTGCTCACGTTGTTTTGCTAGTTTGGAGCCGCTAGGGAACACCGGTACTGAGTCACATCGTCAACTAGACGCTGTGTAATATCAGAGCTCAGCTCAGCTTTCATTACATAACATTTGAATAAGTGTTCATTTGTGAGTCTTTGGTAGTTAGGCACAGCCAGGAGGCAGCATGTCAAGAAAATGAAAAGTGGATATAAGAGACTTCTTTCAAAGTCAAAACGTAAGTTGGAACATGTGACACCCCTGCATTAAGCTCAGACTCACCTCCTCCTTCACACACATACTCAAAACTAACTTTTACAAACTCATCTCCTCCACATAACTGACTCCTCAGACACAATTTATTCGTATTATTATAATTATTATTTATTTATTATTACTATTATCATCATAATTATTATTACTAGTAGTGGTAGTAGTAGAAGTGTAACTTCAAAACTTTTATCATTTAACTTTATTGTAAACTTATCTATTGCAATGTATATGTTCACATTAAAAAGCTCTGAAAAATGAACAGTATCATCATCGTCAACAGATTTCAACAGATTTTTTTAAGCTTAATGTCAAAGATGTACACTTTTCATTAGATTTATCTTATTTTTTCCATTTATTTTTTGTGTGTTGAAATGCAACAACTGTTTAAACACTTTTAAGGGAAAAAAACATTTAATATGTTTTTATATACTCAAATGTTAGGGTGATGATCATGTGTAAAACATTAGTTCAGCATGTCCTCTAACACAGCAAATGAACAAACGGCCAGATCTCAGGAGGGACCGTTTATGTATAAATAATTTTTATACTTTTGACTAGGCCTGGGAAAGTAACACATTTTGCTGGACGATATTTTGTCCAACAAATTGTTGATGATAAACGATATCATTGTCAACATTATCTAGACCAAAATAACCACTAATATAATGTTAATATATCATAATAATGCAAGTACGCCCTTTAAAATGCAACAAATAAACCTTCATTTAACATTGAAATGTCCAGAACCAGAACTTCTAAATGAATAAAAATAACAAACAAAAATAAAATAAAAAAGGAATCTCACTCCCTGTTAGAAAATGTTGCACCAAAAACAATAAAAAAAGACCCAAAACAATAAATACAATGGCCTATCCATTGTCAACAGCCAAAACTGCACTTCAATAATGATAATAAATTAAAATAATAAGAGTTGTACATTTTTTAACTTTGATATATATATATATATATATATATATATATATATATATATATATATATATACAGTTGTGGTCAGAAGTTTACATACACTTGTAAAAAATATAATATAATGGCTCTACTGAGTGTGCCGTTATTTCTAAAACTCTGATTTTTCTCTGATAGAGTGATTGGAACAGATACTTCTTTGTCACAAAAAACATTCATGAAGTTTGGTTCTTTAATGTCTTTATTATGGGTTAACAGAGAAAAGTGATCACATTTGCTGGGTCACAAATATCGTGACGTGTCAAGGGGTCTTTACATAACACCCCCCACCCCAAATCCGCACAAGCCTGCTGTGTCCCCCCCACTTCTGAAATCAAAATTTCGTCCCTGCTGCCTCCATTCTAGGTTTAATCAATCTATCCTTAGTAAATGGATACATACTACAGGATATTAAGGTTGCTGTAATCTAACCTCTACTTAAGAAACCTTCTCTGGATCCAGATGACCTAATGACCAATATCTAGCCTTTCATTTTTTATCCAAAGTCCTTAAGAAAATGGTGGCCCACCAAGTATGTGAGCATTTAAACACAAATGATCTGTTTGAGGAATTTCAGTCTGGTTTTAGAGAGTATCACAGCACTGAAACCGCATTAGTGAAAGTTACAAATGATATTCTCATGGCCTCAGATAAGAATCTTGTGTCTGTTCTAGTAGTTTGATTCAGTGCTTGGACCAATTCTTTTTACTATATATGCTTCCAATTGGTAAAATCATTAGACAGCATGCGATAAACTTCCACTGTTATGCGGACAATACACAGTTATATTTATCCATTAACCCTGATGAACCTAATCAGTTAGTTAGATTACAGGCTTGCATTGAGGATATAAAAAAATTGGATGACTCCAAAATTTTTGCTTTTAAATCAAGATAAGACTGATGTTCTCATCTTTGGACCAGAACATCAGAAAAGGAAACTGCTTAGTCAATCACCTGGCCAGAATGGCATCAAAATAGTCTCAGAGAACAACGTAAGGAACCTTGGTGTCATCTTTGACCAGGAAATGTCATTCAAATCCCACGTTAAACGGGTTTGTGGGATTTCCTTCTTCCACCTTCGGAATATTGCTAAAATTAGAAGCATCCTTTCCAGGAATTATGCTGAAAAACTAGTTCATGCATTTATTACATCAAGACTGGATTAATGTAATTCATTACTCTCAGGAAGTCTACAGAATGTAGTTAAAAGTCTTCAGCTTGTCCAAAATGCTGCAGCTAGAGTTCTGATGAGAATTAAAAAGAGAGATCAAATCTCTCCTGTCGTAGCTTTTCTACATTTACTGTCTGTTAAATTCAGAATAGATTTTAAATTAAGTGTACTTCTCTCTTAACTACATTATTTCGTGCTATTTTAGCTGTTAACTTAATTTTTCCTCTAAGTGTTTTTATCCCCAGAAGCTACAATGGTGTTCTACTGAGCTGTGGTAGCCTCATGGAGGGGGTCATCAGTTTGAACACATGTTGCTAACCACTTAAACATTCTCCTTCTCCTGATAATAACATTTTACTTTCATGGAATGTGCTACTTCCAGTTCACCTATTTAATTAATTATAGATTTGCTAAAATAGACAACAAAGTTTATCTCTTACAAAATATAGCCTAGCATAACATAGTTTGTAGTTTTTCTCAATTGTTCTGTAACTATAAAAAATATAAATGAATTATTAAAAACGCAATTACATCTACTTAAATAATCAGCTTGCACAATATAAAACACAAATACCTAAAACTATAAGTGATGAAACTCTGCTTATAGAAGTTATTCTGATTGTGCAAAAACTCTGAAGATATTTTTATTATTTGCAAACTAAATATTAATCCACTGAGAACATCTGACTATTAAAAAAAACCATTTTAAACATTTCTAAATTTAGCTAAATTTCTCAACTGTAGAATGATAATATATACTGTTCTCTATGAGCTGCTCAAACATCTCAGATAAATTGTTACTGAGGGGCATATTAAGTGGTGCATAATATGTTTTTCCTAAAAAAAGATTCATAAACCCTTTAAAGGTAGCAATTTTAGATGTTACATAATGCAAAGATGATCACTGTGTCTGTATTGCACGTAAAAGAAAACTTCACACATTTGTTTGAATGCAGATTTCTATTATTGAAACAATGTTGTTGAAAGTGTAACATATTAAAATGATTTTTGTCCCTGGTGACATCATGTTAAATATGCTGGTGGGGACATTCACACTCTTTTTGTGCACACACTATGGCTTTTCTTTTGCGTGGATCTGCTTGTGACGTTTCAGATTTCCTGAAAAAGAGTAACTTTTCTCACACCGGTCACAGGGAAATGAATTTTCCCCTGTGTGGATCTGTTGGTGCTTTTTCACATTCCCTGACTCAGTAAAACGTTTCCCACACTGGCCACAGGAAAATAATTTTTCTCCTGTGTGGGTCCACTGGTGTTGTTTCAGTCTTTCTGATCGAAAGAAACGTTTCCCACACTTGTCACAGGCAAATGGCTTTTCTCCTGTGTGGATCCGCTGGTGTTGTTTCAGATTTCCTGACTCAGTAAAACATTTCTCACACTGGTCACAAGGAAATGGCTTTTCTCCAGTGTGGGTCCGCAGGTGTTTTTTCAGATTCCCTGACTCAGTAAAACGTTTCCCACACTGGTCACAGGCAAATGGCTTTTCTCCAGTGTGGGTCCGCAGGTGTTTTTTCAGATTCCCTGATTCAGTAAAATGTTTCCCACACTGGTCACAGGGAAATGGCTTTTTTCCTGTGTGGACTCGCTGGTGATGTCTTAAATTTGATGGTAAAGCAAAGGTTTTGTTACACTTGCCACAGCAGTGCAGCTTCTTTGCCTTTTTTGTAGGTTGATCCAACGGTGTGAAACATGAATCATTCTCAACCTTCTCCTCCTCTTTCCTGGACTGGATCTTTGAAATAAAGAAATGTAAAACAAAAAGCAAATCCAGTTACTTCCTGGAATGTTCTTTAACAAACTCATGTTTCCATTAGGCAACATATAAGCGGAATAAGTTCTGTCATATACGTACTACTGGTCCAAAGTTTTAGAACGCCCCAATTTTTCCAGTTGTTTATTTGATATTATACAGTTTAATGTCACATTGCACTCTGAAATGAAAGCATAGTACAAATAAGCAATTGGAGTTAAAAATAAATCATGGAATAAATGTATGGACCAAAATGTATTCTAAACTTTTGACTCATCAAAGTAGCCACCTTTGGCAGATATAACAGCTGAACACACTCGTGGCATTCTTTCTACAATAGAAATCAAATATTCTTCAGAAAGTTATTCCCATATCTGTAGAAGAAGTTCCCATAAATGTGGGGCACTTGTAGGCTGCTTTGCTTTCACTCTTCTGTCTAGTTCATCCCAAACCAGCTCGATGGGGTTTAAGTCTGGAGACTGTGCTGGACACCTAATGTTCACAAGCTTACCATCTTGTTCTTTTTTCCTGAGCTGGTTCTGGCACAGCTTGGACGTATGTTTTGGGTCATTATCTTGCTGTAGGATGAACCCCTGACCAACTAGGCACACACCAGACGGTACTGCATGGCATTGGAGAATGTTGTGGTAGCTGTTTTGGTTCATGGCGCCTCTCACTCTGTAAAAGTCACCAACCCTGGATCCGGCAAAACAGCCCCAGACCATCACGCTTCCTCCTCCATGTTTGACAGTTGATGCGTACAAAGATCCAGCATGATGACCTCTTCCTGTCAGAGTTTGACCCAGTTTCTGAGTGCCTTTTAATGGTTGTTACGTCCCTGGGAGAGAGGAGAAGGAGGGGCGGTGACAGGCTGATTCACTAGAGCTGGGTGATCCTGGCTCCTGCTCTTCACTGGTCAGACTGGCAACCGTAACAATGGTGAAGGAAACTGTACTCACTGACACCTTGACTTTCTTTGCAATTTCTCTGCAGGAAAGACCGACCTTTTTAAGTGTAATGTTGGTCTGTCTCTCTTCCATTTTTAATTTCCTTTTTCTCGCCATTTTTGTAGCAACACACTATTATCTGCTGTGCAATACTGTTAAACTGATGCTCACAAGGGTATGGTACCACAGTATGTTCCAACACTGCTTTTATGCAGAAAGAGGGGGTTGGAAGTAATCCAGAAAAGTTGGAACACCTGTAGGAATTAGTAGCACCAGCTTTGAAGGCTTGATCAACCTCCATTGCTGTAGAACAGCTATGTTCCCTAAAAAAGGCCTTCATGTATACTTCTGAAATGTACATTATTTTTCAGTTTTGAGTAACCTTACCTTTTTTTAACCTCCGACAGCTCATCACTTGTCTTTGTATCATTTCAAGCTATTCATTGAACTTGAAGGACTTAAATTGCAATAAATAACTGGAAAATTGGGGCGTTCTAAGACTTTTGACCAATAGTGTGTGTGTGTGTGTGTGTGTGTATATATATATATATATATATATATATATATATATATATATATATATATATATATATATATATATATATATGGTACCACAGTATGTTCCAACACTGCTTTTATGCAGAAAGAGTGGGTTGGAAGTAATCCAGAAAAGTTGGAACACCTGTAGGAATTAGTAGCACCAGCTTTGAAGGCTTGATCAACCTCCATTGCTGCAGAACAGCTATGTTCCCTAAAAAAGGACATATATATATATATAATAGTTTTGACACACAACAATTATAAGTAGAACAGTTTAAAACAGATTGGAATATTGCCTACACATTTTTACAAATTCTTCAGATGTTTCCTAGCAACATGATTTCATGTTTATGTTAATGCATTTGGCAAATGTGTTTATCCAAACAATGAATGTCAAAACTTTTGGCCAATATATCAGCTCTGCCAGGAAAAGCAACCAACCTCTTCCAGTGATGACATTTTCCTGTTGGTATCACTTCGCTGCTCTCCTCTAACCAAGAAACACCTCTGGAATGTTCAAAAACGCACAACAAATTTTAAGAAATGCTATAAGATACCAGTTAAAATATGTAGTCACGTTTAACCGACTCTGGTAATGATGCAATGGGCAGCTATGCACACAGTATTTTTATAATATTTGCAATCTTCTGATTTCAATTTAAAGATCTCACTTGCAGCTCTAATCACCTGTATTATTACTCTTATTATGATTCAGCTGCAGACATTTCATGCAGTTGAATGACAAAACTGCTAAAATCCAAAGTATCTAAAAGTCTAAGTATCTAAATGTTGCTTCAGAGGGGCAGAGAAGTATAAAATCTTATCAAAAGTGCAAAAACATAATTTTTTACCGTTTCCAGTGAAGACTATCCTCTGCAGGTTGAAAATATCACCACCTCCAAGTCACCTCCTACCAGGGTCTTACTCCACTCATGTTTGAAAAATGCTACAAATGCCGTTGCCTGGCAGACCGAGAGGACAGCGCCGCAAACAAATGCACACACACAGGCTCACAAAGACATTGTGACACCATAATGTGCCAGCTAACATCATGGCGTACCTTAGCTAATAGTGGTGGCAGGTTTTAAATCAAATGCAGTGCAAAGTTTTTACCTGACGAAGGTGCAACACTCAGTTTTAGGCAGAATATTTAATTTTTAACCAAGATGCACTAAAGTGCCAAACTATTTATTATATGTGTCTACAGCATGACACTCATTTATACAGTTTATTAGTAAAAAAAAAAAAAAAAAAAAAAGGTTGATTTTGGGGTGACTTGCTCTTTAATCACAGAATCAGAACAATTTGTAAAGTCCAGCCTTGTTTTCATGGCAACCCATGTAGACATCAGTTGACTAATTCTAGAGTCAATTTTAAAATGAAACAAATCGATACTGTTTTTGGACATTTTCAATTTTGGCGTTGTTTCAGTTAAAGTCTCTTTCCGGAGTATTTCTCTTATCCGATGGCACCATCTAGTGGCTGACAAGCTTATCACACAAAACTCAGTTGCTCAGTTTTTTTAAGATGGCGAATTCACGTTTTTTGTTTATGAAGGTTTTTCTGTAGCTGACAAACAGAGCTAAAACACACAGTTTTACAAGTATTATTCTCATGTCATGTTGTGTTTTCATATATTTATATTTTAAAGATTTGCTTGTCCGTTAAAAGTTCATCAGCTCTGCATCAGCCGAGGTATTCCTTAAATTTGAATCATGGAAGCAGTAGTCTAACGCTACTGGTTAGTTCTGGTTGGCGTTCAATTTCATATTGTAAGGAGGTCTGCAGGGCAGAGGGTGTGCTTAGCACACAAAAAGATGTATTCTTGGGCGGTATTACGGTATTACCGTATACAGGCGGTATTACAAAATACCGACGGTGTCAGTTCCAATACCGTCATGAAAAACAGCTGTGCGACTGACCAGTTCCTCTATCCTCGCCATACTCCAGCTCTGCAGGGAGAGCGTGTTGGCTGTGTCAGTAAACGACCTCCAGCTTACAAAGTCAATAAAAACCACAATTCTAAAAAAGCTGGAGGCCAAGTATGAATCTGATTCATGATTGTAATGCGAAAATACACTTTCCTCGATCCTCGTTACCGTAGCAGATTTGAGCTTGATGACAACGCACTGGCTGAAATCAAAGCTGAATTACAGGCTGAGATCGTGAGCTTAGAGGGGCAAACAGCACCAGAAGCAGTGGCCATCCGAACCATAAGAGGAATGAGCACAACCTGAACCCCCACGCAAAAAGATGTCTCTGGGGGCTCTCCTGCAAAAACGAGCCGCTGACGCTGCGCCGGAGGGTCCCGTCAGCGCAGAGCAACTGAAATATGGAGCTGAAATAACAGCGTACTGTTTGGAACCTGTTCTTCAAGGGGACGATGACCCTCTTCTCTGGTGGAAATATGCTGGCAGTCGTTTTCCCCAGATGTCACGACTGACCCGGAGGTGTCTATGTATTTGTGCCACCAGCTCACCATCGGAGCGGGTTTTCAGCACCGCAGGTGAAGTTGTTGGTCCACAACGTGCAAACTTGAACCCAGAAAAAGTAAACATGCTGGTTTTTCTGGCGAGAAATCTTAACTAGATTTGCTGCAACATGCCGTAATGTTCGCACTACTGTGTGTGTGTGTGTGTGTGTGTGTGCGCGCACACGCGTGTGGCCGTGTGACGGAGTTTTCTTTTTATAATTTTAATGCAGTTGTTTTGGTTGCAATAATTTTCATAATTTCAATGTTTATGGTTATTCAACTCTTGTTGACTGTTATGGCCTATTTGCACTGTTTCATGCTGCTCGTTGGTAAGTTGTTCACTTGATTTGCGCACAACAGCTGTCCTGGGTTTTTATGTTGATTTATTGCTGTTGGACTGTTGACTCTTTGCACTTGTTTATAAGCTGCGTTTTTTGTGTTAATATATGTTGTTAATAGTATGTGAGTTGCGTTGTTATTTTTTTAGTAATTGTTTGGTATTCGGATTCAGAAAGGTGAAGGTCCACTTGAGGCTTACGTCATACTTTTTAAGTATTCACGGTAATACCGTATACCGGGGTGAAATTAAGTGGAAGTTAGACGGTATTCAAATTTGGATACCGCCCAAGCCTAATGTATTGATTACTTTTACAGATTTCTGAAAAATCATACATAATTTCCAAAGGGAGAAAACTCCAGAAAGCTACTTTAACAAAAAACAATTATGTGGTGAAATATGGGTGTGCTTTTGTGCACCTTATATTAGATTTGAATAAACACTAAATGATTTGTTAAAAAACTGCTAAAATGTTTAACCTAGCACAAAGTTTTGAGGAAATATATTGTGCAACAAATGCAACAAATTAATGGAGATATTCCTAGCCACTATGATTCTTAGGAGTTGAGGCCATTTTTGTTTGTTTGGTTGATCGTTGTCATTCTGTCATGGCTGTTTGAGTCTAACAAATTTTCTAACTTTCATGTTTACATCAGTCTTCTCAGGCACAGTATGTAGGCGCTTCTTGGGAAGACTCTTGCAGGCTGCACGCAGACTGCTTTATGCAGCTGCACCCTCTCTGGTGGATGTATGCACTGTTTGCTACTTCCAAGTGTGTGTGTGTGTGTGTGTGTGTGTGTGTGTGTGTGTGTGTGTGTGTGTGTGTGTGTGTGTGTGTGTGTGTGTGTGTGTGTGTGTGTGTGTGTGTGTGTGTGTGTGTGTGTGTGTGTGTCCTCCATTAAATGGAAAATTTAGGTTTGGGGCTACAACAAATTATTTCTGGGTCGCTCATGTAACTGGCTTTGGATATTTAAACAAATATAAAGTTTTTTTGCACACCGATGCCAGATAAATGCCTCCTCTGCTGCGTTAGCTCGCTGCAGAGCAGCCATCTTCACAAACTCACGGTGTAAACAGTAACTACATCTTGCATTCATCTTTTTCAAAAGGAGAAAAACTGACAGCCCCCTAGTTGGCTGAAAATGAAATTTGTTTCAGTATAACCTTTCTTCCAACATGATTTTGACGTTAGACTGTTTTGTGATAATTTCACTCTAGAATTCTGACAAATTGCACCTTTAATGAAGTCATTTGATTTGTTTAGGATCTTCCTGAGGGATGAGAGGCATTGTCATTAGTCATGACTTTCCCTTTTGCTCAGCAGGTTGTTCTTCTGCTGAAAGATTTAAAACTAAGGACTGGCGGAAGAAACTGGAGCAGCAGGAACACCTGTGTGTAGTTTGGATGAAGAATGTGGGTCAAGCTGATGAACGCTGATGCTTTTAACCTGCAGCAACAACACAACAGCCTCCTGTCAGCCAGAAGAAATTAAATTACAACTTTAGCGTCTGCTTGCGTTCTCTTGCAAGTCACTTTTAAAATGATCATTTTGCAATAACTTCAAATGGACCGCAATAGAAATCAATCAGTTCAAAGAGCAAGTCACCGCCAAATCAACTTTTTATTTTACTGATAAACTATATACAGGGGTGTCTAATTGTGCTGTAGACATATGCAGTCAATAATTTGGCACATTTGTGCATCTTAGTTAAAATTTAAATATCCTGCCAAAAGCTGTCAGTGTTGCATCCTCTTCAGGTAAAAACTCTGCACTGCATTTGATTTTAAATCTGCCATCGCTATTGGCTATAAGGTACACTATGATGGTAGTTCGTGCACAGGGTTTCCCCCAGAAAATGAGTTAAGCCTGGCGGCTTTGGCTGTCAGACCGGGGGGGGGGGGGGGGGGGGGGGGGAATTGCACACGTTCCGCTGTTGTTTCTCACCAGTATCAGCTGATGGAGGGCTCTAGTTTCATTGCGTCGTTCATGTCAGCGGACACGGTAGGGTCGGGGAGGGGGGCGGGGCATGATGCTTAGCCTGGCGGGTGGCCAAGCAAATCCTGACGGGCCGCCAGTCTTATAAAGCGCTGGGGGAAACCCTGGTACATTATGATGTCACAATGTCATTGTGAGCCTGTGTGTGTGTGTATTTGTTAGTGACTTTGCCCTCTCGGTTTGTCAGGCAACATCATTTGTTGCATTTTTCAAACAGGAAGTGGGATTGGAGCAATACTCTGCTACGGGGTGAATTGCTCTTTAACGTTTTTTCTTTAACCATTTCTCCCTGCATCGTTTGCAGATCTTACTTTTGACATTTCACCTCCGTCTCTGAGCTTTATTCCTTTCATCAATAATAAAAAGAAAATAGGAAACCGAGCAACCAGGGTGAATAAAATGACCTACATTCATGTAAGCACTAGATAGAAAAGAATGAATCAAAAGAAAAAGGAAATTAATGAGTAGAGAACTCCCCTAAATACGGTGTTTCTGCTTCTGACAAGCCAAAAGATAAATGGGAGTGAAATAACATTCTGATATAGGTGGCACATTATTTGTGCACGATTTTATCAGAGGAGATAGACTTAAAACATTATGTATTATGTGCAGGTGTTTGCTTTCGTTGAGTAACAGCAGACGCATGTGGAAATGGAAACTTACTGGATTTTGCAACAGACTGAGCTCATTTTGATATGTGAGACATGAAAGCTGACAACTTTTATTTTGGTTTACAAGATTCACGTGCGCATTTGTGTTTGTAGGGTTACCAAATGTAAGAATGCATCATCTGGTTTTACTCTTCTGTGTAATGTCCAGAAATGGTCAGTTTTCATGTACAGTTGGTTCCCTTCACTGTCTGGTCTACATGGAGACAGGAGTCTGCATGTGTTGCCTTTAATCTGCCGGATCCTGCAATTCCATCAGCTGGAGCCCCGGGCCTTTCTGCAGCTCGGAACACATGATAGCAAAGTGTCAACTAACTGTTCCCTTCTCAAGGCCCTTCTGTGCCAAGCCTGCCTGGGTATCTAGGCCGGACTGGACTTTTATAAGAGTGGCTGTTTTCAGCTTATATGAGTTAATCGTTACTCTGTGCTTAAATCAATAAGGTTGATTGATCTGTGCTTGAATTACTGGAATGAAATAAATTATTACATTAAATGATTTATATAGATGGTAATCAGTAATGTTTGATATGACAAGGCAGTCATTACCTGCACTCAGACAAGGACAAATTAAAGTTAAGTTAAACTCATGACACATAGATATTTTTGTACCCCAGATCAGAGCATTCGGTATCTCAAGAAGGCGTGATGTCTGAGGTTGTCTTGGTAATATCCCTTAACATGGCACGTTCTGATTGGCCAATTCATAACATGAGAATATTAAAACAGAATCACTCTGG